AGCTCCTTTATGATTTCTAATACTTTTTGTGGGTTCCACTGCATTTTTGACATAGACACCATGTGATCTCTATTAATAGCATTTTCCTTTCCAACAGAGACGGTTTTGTTCTTGCCTGATTGTGCTGGCCAGAGGGAAGTGGGTATCTTTATTTGTATATATGATGTTGTAGAGAAAACATTGGGTCTTTCACCCCGAAATAGGGTGTTAACTGTAATTTTTCATAGATGCGTTTACCTGGTGTTACAAGGAATAGGTGTTAGATGGTTATCTATTGAGAGGATCTCCTGGTTTCCCTTAGTTATGAAGGAAGTATGCAAATCAGCACCACTAAAAAGTCCCGATGGGTCCAGATGCATCCCTTCTTTAACTGCGAGCTGCACTGGACCTGCCGTTGTGGATTTATTATCAATTCTGAAACCCCCAAACCATGGGTAACCATCCTGCCCAATTCTTACACAGTAAAGCCCTGATGTGTTCTGATCTGATGCTAAGTTACCATGTAGGATCTCATTTCATAAAATCCCTATTAACCTTCAACTTCCTGATTCTCCCAAAAATTTAACTATTAATTACTCTTCACTATTAAAAATTGTGCTGCTCTGTTATGACCACCTCAAGAGGAAGCAGTGAGCCATGTGGGGGAGCACAGCCCTGCAGTCATGAGACCCCTCATTTCTGAAGCTCCCGAACTTCGACTTGGATGGTGGCGCCTGGAGTCTCCTGAGGGGAGAGGCAAGGACGCAGGCATTGCTTCTGTGCGGGGAAAATCCAAGCTGACAGCAAAGAGTGACATGGAACAGGAGCAGGGACCAGTGGGGGCTTCGGGGAAAACTTATAAACACAAGTGCGGTATCGGTCGGCCTGAGAGAGGTCCCAAGTGGAGCCAGCTGAAAGTGGTCCCGGCTGGAGGGGCATCTCAGGTGGGTTAAGAGAAGATGGGAGGAGAAGAGACTTCCAGCTGCTGCCTGAAAACAGCAGTGGGTGAAGCATGGATCCAGCCCCACAGTAGCAGGTACCCAGGCAGGAAAGCTGGGGGAGACACTCAGAGAACTTCCTGCCTGGGGGAAGAGTGGCTGATCTCTGGGGAGCAGCAGGGCACCCCTCCCCCAATCTCCTCCAGGCCTCTGTTGCTCTGATCTCCAGGCTCAGAGACAAAGCAAGCTCCTTCCCAGAACCCACTCTAAAGGCAGGGGCGGGGCTTCTCAGCAGGCCTGGGGAGCCCGCAGGACAGTGGAGGTCCTGGCTCCCATACCTCAGGGTTAGGGTCCCCTCGGAATTCTCTGGACTCATGGAGACTCTCCTGTCACGGCTTGATGATTCTTTACATTAAAATTCTGCTTTTAAAATCACTGTGTGCCTGTTTCCTGCTTGGACTAATACAGAGACAGCACCTTATTCTCAGTACTTATTGCCAGTATTTACTAATAGTGAATTTTCTATTAGTGTGCTTTCTATGTTTATATTTTGCTTCCAGTTTTAGTGCGTAATCTATACAATTATTATTTATTAGAATTTATTGATAGTCTTTCAACATAATGCAAGGTTCACTTTTTAAAGATACTTCCCAGGAAATACAGAATGTTTGGTCTCTGTTTTTAGCATGTGGAGATGAATATGTCTGTTAGATCAGGTTTATTGAAGTATTCATGTCCTATATACCAGCTATCAATGCATGTTTTCTGTGAAGAGCCAGAGAGTAAACTCAGCCTTGTGCGATGTGCAGTCTCTATCATAAAAGCAGGCACAGGTAAAGGAATTGCCTGTGTGCTCCAATAAAACTTTATTTACAAAAATAGACACATGGCAAGACACAAAATCAACATACATTTTTGTGTGATCTACAGCATTCTTGTACACAAATAATGAACTGATCAGAAACGAAAACAATTCTAAACTGGGGATGATGGCACATGCCTGTAATCCCAGCACTGGGGAGGCTGAGGCAGGAAAAGCACCATAAATTCAAGGCCAATCTAAGCTCATGAGTTCAAGACCATCTAAACTATAAAGCAAGTCCTGTCTCAAAAAAGAGAAACAAACAAAACCAACAAAAAAGAAAACAATTTCATTCATAATAGCTTCAAAAATAAAATTAAATACCTAAGAATCAATCTAACGAAGGAAGTAAACGATCTCTATAATGAAAATTACAGAAACCTGAAAAAAAACAGAGGACATTAGAAAATAGAGACCCCCTTTACTCTTTGCATTGGAAGAATATTATGAAAAAGGCTACATTAACAAAAGCAATCTACAGATTTAATGCAATCTCATTTAAAATACCACAAGCTGGGTGTGGTGGTACACACCTGTAATCCCAGCACTCAGGAGGCTGAGGAAGGAGGACTGCCATGAGTTCAAGGCCTGTTTGGCCTACATAAGTGAGTTCAAAGTCAGCCTGAATTATGTAATGAGACTCTGTCTCAAATAAAATAAAATACCCACACTATAAAGAAAAAAATTTAAAATTCACATGGAATCAGAAGACTCAGGAGAACCAAAGCAACTGTGAGCAAAGACAGTCAAGCTGGAGGCACACCAATGCCAGATTTCAAATTACACTACAAAGCCACAGTAACAAAAACAGCATGGCACTGGTACCAAAAGAAACATATGACCAATGGAATAGAACAGAGGACAAGATGTAACTCACACACCAACAGCCACGTGAGTTTTGACAAAAGGGCCCCAAATACATGCTAGAGAAGAGATAGCCTCTTTGTCAGACTGTGCAGGGAACTGGCCACATACCACTGAAGAAGACTGAAACTTGATCTCTGTCTCACACTATCTGTTAAAATCAAATCCAAGCAGTCAAAGACCTTCACACAAAGCCAGGAACTTTGAAACTGCCAGAAAATACCTTAGGGGAACTTGTGAAATCACAGGCACAGGCCAAGTCTCCTCAGGAACACTCTGACAGCACAAGAGCTACTATTGAGCATCAGCCAGCAGGACCTACTCACACTGCAGAGCTGGCAGAGTGAAGACAAGGCCAGCAGCACGGGGCAGACTTGGCCAGTGACGCTTTCCACACAGCACTGACACCTAGCACACAAAGATCTCAAAAAAAAAAAAAAAACCTAAAAAACAAAGGAGCCACTCCAAAACGGGCAGGTGAACCAAACAGACTTTTCTCACAAGAGTGAGTACAAGAGGGCTGTAACCTGAGCCAGCCTGGCCAACTCAGGCTCCTGTCCCAGAGGGAAAGAGACCTCTGGGAGCTCAGTTTAGAGGCCCTGAGGCTCAGTTTCTGGGACCACAAAAAACAAAGTACAAGCGGCCAATAATTATATGAAGCAAAGTTTAACACCTTTAACCACTGAGGAGATGGAAACCAAAGCTACTCTGAGATCTTGTCTTTCCCCAGGGAAAACGGCTAACATCGGGAACACATATTCACACACACGTATGCACACACATCAGACGCAAGAGAAGAAAGTACACTGTTCGTGGGAATATGCACCAGTAGAACTCCTCTGGATCAGTATGGCGATTTTTTAAAAAGCTGAAAGTGGCAGTATGATTTGACACACTTATACCTCTTCTGGGTAACTCCCCAAAGAGCTGACGACATCATTCTCTAGCGCAGTAGGCACGCCCATGCCTACAGCAGCACAATTTACTAAAAGACCCATACTCTGCAGCAGCCCAGATGCCCGGCAACAGACAAATGGGTACAAAAGATGTGCTGTGGCTCACCAGTGGAGCACTAGTCAGCCATGCAGAAGCGTGGGGTCAGCCATGGCAGGAAAATGGGTGGCACTTGAGACCATCATACAGAAAGTAGCCCAGGCTCAGACAGCGAGACACTGCATGTTTCTCTGATGTGGGAAACTACACGTAAATTAACCAACAATAAATAACAATGAGTAGTAAAACTTATAGATGGGGAAGCAGATCAGGTGGAGGCGAAGAGGAAGAGAGGGGCGACAGGGGCTGATACAACCAAGACACGTCATGCGTGTGCAGCAGCTCCCCAAACAAGTGCACCACCCGCTCCAAGTAACCCACACTGTGAGGGCCAGTTCCCTCCGAGAGAAGTTTCAAGGTGACCACGGGCCAGTGTCATTTCCACTCCTTTCTTCCTGACACAGCACTATTTAACATAACCCACGAGTGATTCTTTTTCCCTTTTATTCTGAGATAGAGACTCGCTCAGCAGCTCAGAGTAACCCTGAACTATGTAGTCCAGGATGGCCTTGAATTTGAGACAATCACCCTGCCTCAGCCTCCTGAGTAGCAGATCAGTAGTGACCTTTTTGCCTCCTTTCTCCTCCCTCAGTTGAACCAAACCTTCACTTGCTGAAAGCAGGGAAGTCCACAGTATTCCTCACGCAAACTGCCCTCACTCTCCTCAGAGCCAAGGACAAGAGAAGCCAAGCCCTCCAGCCTTCCAGCACTGAAGAGCTGTGTGTCCTGACTTGGGCCAGGCCACAGGCCTGTCTGCTGCGCCCTCTGAGCTTCACTGTTGATCTCTGCCCCGGTTTGTCACAGGGCCTGGGTCGGAGCCTCTTCCCATGGAATTGAACAGCTCTGAGGCCCTACCACCCAATCCCTGTGGGGCTGGGTCTGTGCTTCTGTGTGCCTGCACAGCCTTCTTACCTGTTTTCACCTAATCTCCCCCATTTCCTTCCACATCTGTCAGTGCTGACACCTGCGGGCCTATGCCTGGCTGTGCACTTGTGCATTCCTGGAGAGTCCTGTGCCAAATCCTTGTGAAAGGGCACTGACACCCAGGGTGACGGCCTCCTCCCTGGAGAAGTCAGTTGCTGGTGTGAAGGGAGTGATGGGTTTGAAACTGCCCTGCTGAAATATCTAAGTGATATTTTAAGATAAAGTAGAAATTCAGTGTCTCCAGGCCAAACACCCTGAAAGTTCTTTTGGTTGTAACGTTGAAGGCAATTAAAATCACACAGGTATTCAGAGATTCATGAAATTCACTCACACCCCTCCAGCCCCAGTCGCATGGGACCCGTGCACCACGATTGACTCACCAGCGGGATGAGCAGGCTGGTGAGGGCCGCCAAAGGCTTGCCCAGCAGCAGGAGGTCTTCAGCCGCCTGTGTGTCCCCTCCTGAGCCAAACTTCTGCGCCTGTGACAGGAAGAGAGTAGGGGACCTGGGGATTAGTCAGATTAGCTGTGGGGCACAGGGCGGGCAGCAGGAGCCAGGATCCCTGCGAGGCAGAAGTCGGGGCCAGGCCTCGGATGAGGCAGCAGCAGGGCTGCACTGCGGGAGCTGCTGGGGCCAGTGCCCCTTCCCAGCTGCCCCAAAGCAGTGGGAGCTGCGACCTCACAGTACACAGGAAGCTAAAGTCCCACAGTAACGGTGACCACACACACCAGACTGTCTCACTGGGCATCACTCTCCAGTTGTTCCGTTCACAGTACCCCCTCTGCCGTGCTTCCCACACACTGTGGTGACCCTGCAGGGAGACACAGGTGCCCAACAGCAGTGCAAAGCCTGCTGCTGCTCGGCCTAGGCTCCCCTCTCTGCAGAGCCTGAGGGCCAGGCCTGTGTCTTCTGGGTGCACGCTGCCTGGCACCTGTCTCCATGAACCACAGTCCCCATCCCACCCACCTAGCTTGGCTGCCTTCAGCCCAGATCCTACCCCGGCTGCCCGCTGCCTGCTGCCCAGCCTCACTGTGGCACCGTGTAGGCAGGACGGCTGCTCAGGCTGCCCGGGTTCTGAGGCAGGGATGAGACTGGCTAGGGATATATGGTAAAGTCTGCATTATCTGGTGGCCAATTAGACATGCAATTTGGGAAACAGGAAAATGTCAAGGACAGCTCCCTGCTGTTGGCTGGCAGAGCAGGTGAGGGCCAGGGCCAGGGCGGACATCTGGGGTGGGCTCGGGCAGGGCAGCTTGGCTTTGGCCATGGGTGTTGTTAGCTAAGCTGACCAGCTGCAGGCTAGGCGAGCACAGGCCTCAGGACACAACTCCAGGTAGAAGCATAAACTTAACGCTCAGACACTGAAAACCCAGATGTCAGCTCAGGAGCCAAATGTGATGCTCAATGGCAACGTGGCGTGCCCGAGGGAGAGTGCTAAACACAGCCGACTCCTGGGCATGGAAGGACCGGGTGAGCCCTACCCTGTCACTGCCTGGGAGCCGATGTGCAGACAGCAGTGCGCTGCAAATGAAGGTCACACAGAAGTCTGCCGGCCACAGTGTGGCTTGGGCTAGCTTGGGCACCCCAGCCCCACACCCCCACCAAGCCTCGCACCTGAGGCAGACCTCATGGCTCAGCTAAGGGACACAGAGCTTCCCAATGACCCCACAAAAGCAAGGGGAAAACTGCTCAGAGAGAGGTGGATACAAATCTGGGTGGCAGAGGTGATGAGAGTTTCATCATCTGGACAGCAGACAGGAGGCCCCGGGTTGCCCAGATGCCATTTTTCAGGGGTTGGGATTCCTCCAGTACGGGGATCCACTCAGGAAACAGGCAGCGAGGACAGACACCAGCTGGGCTGCGAGGTCGTGGATGTCTGGCTTGGGTTATACCGTGTCACCCACAGGTCAAAGGAAGGGACAGACACCGGACTAAGGAGGGCAGTTCATGGGAAGAACTGTGTCTCAGTTATATTCTCATTGCTGAAGCAAAATATTACATACTGAAGTCACAGGGGAGAAGCTCACTTCAGCTCCAGTCTGCAGAGGTCTCAGCCTGTAGTCTGCTGGCTCCAAGGCAGAGCGGCAGAGCCCACAGTAAGGGGCAGGAGACAGCAGAGCAGCAGCAGGGGCAGCAGCAGCAGCAAGCCTGCATTCCCTCTCCCTTTCCACTCCATCCAGGCTGCAAACGCTGATTGGCACCATCCGCACCCAGACCTGCGTTACCCACACCCATAAGCCCAGCACTGCACCCAAGCCCAGGACCCAGGGGCTCCCCTCCCTGACCACACGTGGCTTTGGGGCACACCTAGATTCACAACAGGATGACGGCAGCACAGGACCACACAGGAGGCAGTGCGGGGAACTGCAGTAGATACTGATGGCCTGCAGGAGAGCTGTCCATACACACAGACTGGCACACCTCAGCCCCTAGACACCAACGCACGTGCTGTCAGCAGCAGCCAAGCCGTCCCATGTCAGGATTGGAGGCTGAGCTTCGAAAAGCACCTGGGGATGGTGGGCTTCTGAGTACCCGCCCTCCCTAAGAAGCCCCTGCTCAGACAGAGTCCAGGCCGGCCCCCTCCACGCTCCACACTGAAGCACCCTCTGCACATTCACACAGCGTTTCCGATCTGTACTAAAACTTCCAGCTGCTTTATCTGCACACTAACTGTAACAAGCCTTCCGGCATCTCTGCGGTAACTGCAGGCACCCGGATGTACAGACGACAAGCCCATCATCTGCAAACCAGTTAGGAGCTCTATGATCAGCAGACATGGGCTGGGGCTCTGCTCCCCGCCAGGCTTGGGGGTGAGGACACCAGCACCGGCAGGAAGCCCTGTGGATGAGGTGAGCACCGCTCTTCTCATGCTGTCTCAGATGCAATGAGAAGGCTAGGCGACCTCCTGGCCGAGCACAAGTGAGACACTTCACATACACCAATCACCACACAAGGTTTGCTTACTTGCTGCATCTCCCTTCACCCCGCTGTGCTGTTCCCACATCAGCTTCATAGCCGACAAAACAGAGACTCGGACAGGTGGAGACCTCACCCAGTGCTGAGCCAGTGAGAAGCCATGTGTCCTGCCTCTCGGTGGAAGACAACCCAGCCTGTGGGTCCTGGGGGGCCCACACCGAACCTTCCTGGCTGCTCTCAGTCCCCAGCCCAGGGTCTTCCAGACTCCCTCACTGAAGGAAGCTCCTATTTAGGAGATACAGGCTTGGAGCAGAGTGCCTCAGGAGTGTCCTGCCAAGTGCTCAGGGAGCAATGTCCCCCATGTTGGATGATACCCCACTCTTCCCCAGCGCAGCCCCAGGGCCCTGCCACTCTCAGACAGGCACTGGGACCACGGAGATCAAAGTTGGTGGCTAGGGTCAGAGCAATGTGTGCGGACAGCAGGGAGGACTTAGGAAAAGCACAGAAGTGAAATGCACAATGGTTATCGAGTAACATAAAACCAAACAGCAACCTGCCGACCCAACCACAATTTAAAAAGGAACAGGAAAAGGTTTTACATTACAGCATTTTCTTTTAAACACCCCTGAATACCTACCTTATCACTTATAATAAAGGAAGATTTCTATTGTTTTGGGTTTTCTAAAAACTAACTTCTGATATAGTTATTCAACCTACAGCCTACAAGACCTAACCTTCTACAGGCTTACCAGCAGGACCTCAGGACAGCGACCATCACTGACATCTCACAGACTTCCACAAAGCTACCACTGTGGACACTGAAATAAGAAACAACAGTCTCTGAAGGGAGACTTGCCAGATGGAAGAGCAAAACAGGAGACACGTGATTCAGGATTCAAGTACGGAACTAGGCTGCACTGTGGATTAGGAATATTATTGGGGGGCAAATGACACATCGGAACTGTGTTATTCACAGGTGGGTTTGAAGTGTGGGCTACCCACCTGGCATTGAACTGGAATATTGGCCAGGGGGATTGGGCATTGCTTATTAAACCGTGCTGGACAGACAGACACCTGGCTGCTGCCCAGTGGATACCAAGTGCCATTCTCCATAACAAGGCCTGGCAGAGACCAGGCTGGGGGTGACGCTCACTCTCAGCCCTGCTACTGCAGCTCTCAGCAAGGAATCAACACAGCCCACTTTGACTGCGCAAAGCGTCCCTGCTGCTGGATGCTCCCAGCTGACACACACCTTCACGATTCACCAGGATGCTAAGCACAGCCATGTGCTCATGTTGGCTGTGTGGCTGGCCCTGGTCTAAGCATCTGCTGATGAGAGCAAGCAGGCATCAGAGGCAACATGAACTGGTCTCCTTCCTCCCTCGGTGCAGCAGAGAGGGAAGCTCGGGGAGGGGTGTGGGCAGGCTGGCTTCTCTCCACCTCCAAGCACACCCGACACGCAAAAGCTCTGCACCTGCCCAGCTGTGAGCCAGAAAGGAAAGCAAGTGGATCATCTCTATGTGTGTTTCTGTGTGTGTGAACATACACATGCATGTATGTGTGCATGTGCCAACTTCCCACCCATCCTGCTTAGGGCAGCTTCCGCCTAGACCGGAAGTCTGCCCTGCTGGTCCCTCTCAGTGCACCTTAGCAGGTGTGACCTCAGCCAGAGCTTTGGTGCTTCTGCTCAGGGAGCCTCCCTGCCTAGGCTCAACACCCACGATCACCGTCCCCAACACTGGTCACTCCAGACTCCTTTGTAGCCCGCAGGCACAGAATGGTGCATTCTTTTAAAAGAAACAGAGACACTGTCAAGGAAGACAGGAGGAAGAGGGAACCGTGACCCAGAGAGCCACTCACCTGCAGGGCCAGCCGCACGACACCAGACATGTAGGTCAGCATGCCGTGCAGAATGTCCAGCAGCGAGAACAGCAGGGTAGCCGCCACCTCGGTGCTGTGCTTACTGTCCGCATCCAGGCACAGTGTGGCAGCTGCAGTGAACAGGTTACAGACGTGATGCACGAGTCCTGAGGGGGGAAGGTGGGAGATGGGTCATCATACATTATGGAGAAGGTGCCCACACTTCCCGCTGGGGGAGCCCCAGCTGGCACCCTTGGGAAGCCTGCACGCTCAGGTCTGCTCAGGAGCCTGAGAAAGACGTGTCCCACACTTTTCACATGCGGCTCCCGAAATCACACTCTGAGAAACAGCACCCTAATGAGCAGGTGCCCAGGGTCCAAGGACACCCTGCCGTTGAGGGGACCCCTGTGATATAGAGACTGAGTGCCCTGACCCCTCCTGGAAAACAATATTCCTCCCTTTACCATCAGGGGCCCTGGTGGGCCACGACTGGTGTCTCAGGGGGTCTACATGTATGCAGGTTGTCTCTAGAGGATAATGCAACGAAACAACCTTTCTCACGCATTTCAGCAATGTAAGACTATGATTTCAAGAACTGGTCTCCATCAACTTTTAGTCTGGGGTAGGCTGCCTCACAAACACATCTTCACATTTCGAGGGCACTACTGTTTACATTTAATTTTTACTGTTATTTAGCATGATCCTCTGAATGTATAAAACAAATCAGCTATAAACATGATGGAATAAAATGCATTCTACCCTTAAGTGACAAACAGGATCCGGGCACCAGTGCAGCACAAACTCAAATGTTCAAAAAAAAAACAAAAACAAAAATACAAGTAAATCTCTGAGGACAAGTAGTTCACACAAGCAGACGAGGGAAGCCTGGCAGAGGAGTGTGACAAGCATAGGGACCCAGGGGCCGCAGAACCTGCATCCTGGCCCAGCCCAGTCGGTAGTGGCGCAGGGACCAGCACGTTCATTCTGGGACACTGGTCTCCCTTCCACAGCATGCACAGCCACTTCTGGCAAAGCAATCTAGCTTTCTGGAGCCGTGGAGGATGCTCTTCTGACTACAGAAGTGACTGATTTTATCACAGAAGGCAGACACACGCAAGGTAAAGAGGGGTCAGTGGAAGATTCCTTTCCTGGCAAAGGCCAGGATAACTGGCACAGCTGCCAAGGTGCTTAGGAAACCTGAGTCCAAGGCTGAGGAGAAAGACAGGAGGAAGAGAAAGCAGAACGAATCATCTGCGAAGCTGCATCACCAGATGGCAAGGCCTGAGCGCGCACACATCCTCGAGGACACATGGTGCAGGAGGTGACCGCCCTAGTAGGCAAGGCGCCCCAGCCACAGTCCTCTGGATGCAACATGTCACTGGTGTGCACACTGGGAGCTGGCACTTGGGTTCCGTGGCTGCAACCGGGCGGGAAAGCACAGTGCTTCACAAAAACCCCGTGAGACACCAGGCTGTCCCTCCACAGTTCCTGACATGCAGGTGGCTGAAGAGGGCACAGCACGCACCACAGCAGCAGTTCTGAGCACCCAGCAGGACTCGGCCCATCCGAAGCACCAGTCTGCAGCCATCCCCACACTGCCTGACCCAGAATAAATCGCCAGCAGCCAGCAGTGCTTCCTGTGACCCTCGCCTGGCCTTCAAGGAAGAAGAGCAAAGAATGTGGCCAAAGCCCTGCTGGGATGAGGAGTCATCCCCATCTGCCGGGTCGGCAAACGCGGCAGCAGGTGCCAGATGCCATCCCAATCCCAGAGGCAGGGCTCGGATGGTGTGAGGGATGCAGGGTCAGGTATGGGTGCTCCTCGCCATGGTGATAACGCAGCAAGGTGCAGGAAACAACTCTCCTGATCTATTTCCGACAGGTTCCCATGTGCCTCAGAGCTACAATGCTCATTCAGGGTCAAATGAATGTGTTTCCAGTCTCAATTCCAAGATGGCTAGGAAAAAGGAAGCCCCTCTGCCCTTCCAACAGTTATGGACATTCTATCCACCTTGCTCTCTCTCTGTCTTCTCTCAAATGCATTGTAAAGCAAACGCCACACATCCGACTTCTCCTGGAGATTCTTCTAGAGAGTCTAACAGACACTTTTTCTTAGCCATACTGCCATTACCACTTAACAAAATCATTTTCTAACATGCTTGACAAACAGACTATGTTCAAAACCCTCCACCTGCCTCTAAACTATCCTTTCCCCGCTTAGCTTCCCTGAGTCAGGACGTGACCAGGTCCAAACCTGCTACTGGTTATGAGCTGAGAGTCCTTTAAGCACCTTCCCACCCTCAACTGCTCCTGCCACTCATCCTGGGAAAGATAGGGACATTTTCCTGGCAGATGTCCTCAGAGCACTGCTCCTATGTCGTCAGGTTTCCTGGACAGTGTTCATTAGACCCAGAGCCTTGGTTTGATGTGGGTCCAGCTCCTTTGGCAACAGCACTCGGGTGGGGTAGGTTCACTGTACTTCCCACTGCATCCCACCTACAAAAACACACCCTCCATCCCAGCGACACTAAAGTTCCTGCACCCAGGGTTTTCAGTCTAACTATATGTCGCAGGATGCCCCAGCTACGTTCACTGCTGCTGACCTCTGTTGAGTCCCATGACCTCATTAACAATGGAAATGGGCTGATCTTGAAATTCTACCTTCTTCTGTACATTCTGAGCTGCTTTCCTTCCACAAGAACCCACCCTTATTGGCTATTTGGTTATTGTAAAATACAGTTCGGGAAGTAAAAGCAGGACCAGTGTTTTATCTGTGCTCCCTCCCAGCCTGCAGAGTGGTGTTTGAGGGAATGGCAGCCACCACAGCGAAGACCAAAGTGGGACGGGCCACGAGTTACTAATGAGTTCACTCTGTAGCATCACTGTGGACTTAACAGATTTTTAAGTAACACATTTGACAGGACTCAACTCATTTGCAGCATTATCACTTTTATGCTCAACATTTCCCATCTCTGGCCCTGCAGTCCCTTGCTTCTGTTAGGATAAAGTGCCAAGCCCGCCTACTGGGAGACCAGCCCCAGCTGGGCATTAGCTACTTCTACTGGGGCCATGTGCTCCTGCTTTGTTTGTTTTTAATTAGTGATGATCTGAGAACAAGGGCTGCTCCACTGCTGGGCTGTGGACTGGTGAGGAGCCCTAAGAAGCAGACATCTCTTCAAGAGAAATCATGAGTTTATGAATATTTCTGTCACAGTCCAGAAAAGGTCCCACAGTATTAGCATCAAGTGAATTTCAACAGGTAACTCTAGAAGAAATAAATTCTTTCCAGCAAAAGGGGTGATTAAACAGGGGCCCATTCACAGGAGGGGAGAAAGGGAAATCTTTGGCTGCATATTCCATGATACACAAAGCCTAATTTTGGATAAATCACACATCTACATAGGAAAGTTAAAGCTAGAAAGGTTCTAAAATTTAAAATACCTCTGTAACTAGAAGGCAGACAAGATTTCTTAGGACCTAAAAAGTCCTACTTAAAAGTTGATAATCAAAAGTATAAAGCTTTATAAATCAAAAGGCACTATTTAAAAATAAACTGGCAAGACAAATACCAGGAGGAAACATTTACAACATATGTACTCAACTTTTATGCAGACTATGAAACAATTCCTATAATTCAATAATCAAATGACAATTCCATTTTTAAAAATAAGAGATTTGCACAATCAGTTCATGAGGCAATTCAATACTATCAGTCAACAGCGAAATGAAAAGTGAGGCCGCAATGAGCACACATGAACAGAAACAGCACAGCAGTGTGAGTGCAGGTGATGCGGGGAGCTCGGAGTGCACGTGGCCTGCCAAAGACTCCGCGCCGGCCTGGATCCTCCAATACAAATTTAAAAGTAAGTTTATCCTATCGTCTCCACTTCTAGGTATTAATCCAAGCAAATGAAAATATATCCATGTAAAGTCTCATTAAAGCTGTATTTGAAATACAGCAGTTCAGGTGTCCATCACCAGTTTAAAAACTCAGGTCTGATTGTATCTTGGTGAGCAGCGAACACCACTTGGCAGATAAAAGAAACGGACCACCAGCTGCTGCAAAATAGGCACGCGCCCCATAAGTAAACTGAGGAAAAGCATGCAGGCTAAGCTGGAGGCCCATCGGTCTACAGCACCAGGTAGAGATCTCCCAACAGCAACTGCTTCCAGGATTGGAGTGGGATGGACCTTCCAGGGTGATGGAGACACTCAGCTCGGATGAGAGGTGACTGCAGGGCAGGAGGCATTTTTCAAAACCAACTGAACTGCACAGGTAAGGCTGGTGCATTTCCCTGTAAAAAACTACAGTCAGATGTCAAAACCTAGAGCTGACAAGAGCAGCTGTGACACACTAGCGCAGGGCCTGCGGAGGCAGCGCAGAGGTATGTGCGGTCTGTACTTGGGTGTCCGGTCTGCAGGAGAAGGAGGACTGAAGTGAGCTGGTGGTAACAGGAAGAGCACATGAAGTAGCTGTGCTCAGAGGCAGAGGAAAGCCAGTCCTGGGGCTTGGGTTCAGGCTGTGGGCAGGCGGGGCAGATGCTCAGACAGAATGGAAATTGCCAAGGGACAGGCAGGACTCGGGCAGGGACTGAAGGCCAGGAGCGTAAGACAGAGCAGGGACAGGAAGAATAGGGCAGAACACGATGTCATGGATGTCAAAGACTGACCAGGGTCAAAACAAAGAAGGGCTGACTGCGAGTTGGCAGGGGGCATCACCATCCCCACAGAAAATGCAGCCAGCAGCTTGGAAGACAGACCAACAAGAACAAGCCTGAGGTACCACCAACCAGGTTTACAGGCTGAGTAAAAACCAATCTGCAGTGCCTGCTTCCTCCACAAGGTGGCCCCGAGTGACCCAGACAGGATTCACTGGGGACAGCTACTTCACCAAGAAGGACCACAGGTAGACGTCCAGCTTCCCTAACCCTGTGGGACACTTCCCAGGAGACCATTTCTGTTGTCACCTTGTGGGGAACAGTGGGTCACTGGCACGGCCAGACTACCAGGGGTCAAACAGAAACAAAAGCAGGAAACTGTCACCATGGTGATGCCAGCCAGCAGAAGCCTCCATGAAGAGCCAGTTCAAACCTTCCCTGCCTCCCCCCTCCCCCAGCAACACTGAGCCTGAGTCTCCTCAGGTTAGGGGCTCTGCCTCCCGTGTGCAGCC